GGAGGAGAACTCGAGGGGAGAATCTTTGTGGAGCTCTACAACGATGTTGTTCCGAAAACGGCTGAAAACTTCAGGGCACTTTGTACTGGTGAGAAGGGCATTGGCCCTAACACGTCTGTTCCTCTCCATTTCAAGGTATCTTTGGTTCTTGGCTCTTTGATTATTGATTTTTACTTGCATTTGAAAGATATCAGTATTTTCAAGTTAGTGTTGTTTGTAGAAATGATGGGTTGATTGTGATGGCTTTCTGCGAAGATGATATTTTAAGGCATTACTTTGTTTTATGTGAATGAATGTGGTGATGATTTTGGCTTTTGAATCTTGATCATGGGTGGTTTTGATTACGTGACATGTTTGTTTTATTGATTGTTTAGTGACTGGTGAGCCATTGATGTTTATTTAGTTCTACTTTAGTTAGAGTTTTTTCTTTTCTTTTTTTCACATTTTTGGGTAATATTTTGATTATTTTTGCATTGGAAAGGATGTGGTACTTTTTGTAACTGATAGCAAAGGTGATGGATATATGCCTTTACTTTGGAAATTTCAGTTTTATGTTAGTGACTGGTTCAGATTATGGAGGGAGGGGAATATTTGGGAAAATTATCACCATTGTTTATTTATTACTTGTTGCGGAAGATTTTGGATTAATAAATGAATGAATGTAATAACTGTGTTTAATCTTTGATTGTTTGTATTAGTGGTGTGGTTAGGGGATATTGATGCATTGTTTGTGTGTATGTATTTCTACTGGTTTATTCTTTTTGATGAAATTGCAATTATGGTTTTGCTAATTTGGGAAAAAATTATGTAATATTAGTTTAATTAATCAGAAGAGAAATTTGATTTTCTGCATTTGATCATTTGGTATTTGTAAATCATCTGAGCTCCAAGTGTCACGTTAGCTATGCCTCATTTATGGTTTTTTTGTTAGCTGTGATCATTTTTGTGTTTGTACGTATTTGTAAATCAATAATCCTACGATTTATCTTTTCTTTCTGATCAATTAGTGACATACCCTGAATGTATTGTGAATATTTTCTATTTATTTAGGGTGATTGAGTAATATCAGTTCTTCAATACCATTCACTGATAAAAACTAATCTCTTATTTGTTTCTTTTCCTAATGATAATTATATTTTTGTTTCAGGGAGTCTGTTTTCATCGTGTCATTAAAGGGTTTATGATACAAGGAGGAGACATTTCTGCTGGAGATGGCACTGGTGGAGAATCAATCTATGGGTTAAAGTTTGAAGATGAGAATTTCGAATTGAAACATGAACGAAAAGGAATGTTATCTATGGCTAATGCTGGCTCTAACACAAATGGGTCTCAGTTCTTCATCACAACAACTCGTACGTCTCACTTAGATGGGAAACACGTGTGTTGGGAAGGTAGTTAAAGGAATGGGGGTTGTTCGTTCAATTGAGCATGTCACAGTGTGGAAAATGATCGCCCCACTGTTGATGTTGTAATTACTGATTGCGGAGAGATTCCTGAGGGGGCTGATGATGGGATATCTAATTTTTTCAAAGATGGTGATATTTATCGATTGGCCAGCTGACCTTGATAAGAGTCCAATGAACTTTCTGGTGGATGGATGCCGTTGACTCTTATTAAAGCTTTTGGAAATGAACATTACAAGGTAATGACTGCGTTATATGAATCTATCTCCCATTGACATATTTGGTGAACCAAATTGAACTATGTGAAACATAGTTATAGTAGGTGGAGACAAACATAGAAATATCATGTACTTCAGCATTTGAATATTTCTTATAGTTATTATTCCGATTCCTTTCATTTCTCTGGTAATTCTTTTTTCTCTTTTCATGCACCATTTTTGATAAGGTGATTATTATTTGTTAGAAACAAGACTATAAGATGGCTCTTAGAAAGTACCGGAAGGCTTTGCGTTTTTTGGATATCTGCTGGGAGAAAGAAGGAATTGATGAAGGTTAATTATTTGTTATGGAATTCTGTTGTTTATTGCCTTTCATTGAACTTGGTTTATTGACTGTGCATATTATTTACTCTTGTGGCTCTGCAGAGAAGAGTTCATCTTTAAGAAAGACAAAGTCACAGATCTTCACAAACAGCTCTGTAAGATCTCTCTCCTCTCTCTCTCTCTCTCTTTTTTCCAAATATAAGGGACTGCATTTGAGCATGGAGCATTTTATAGTTTATGTCATTGCTATGTGGATCGACGTATCTTCATCCATTGTATTATGCAAGGTATTTTTTGAAAAGAATGTCAAGAAGGCTTAGCAAGTTTGGAAATTTTTGTTGTAAGAAAATAGCCAGTGCCTTATTGTAGTTTGACTCTTGTTTGGATTATTTTCAGTTGAATCTTTGTATCATTTCCTCCTCACCAACTTTAGAGTTCTTGGACTTTGTGATGGGATTGTATCAAGTCCTGATGTGGTGCAAACCTTATCTGTTCATTACCTGTTGCCTCGGTATTTGACCATATGAAGATAACTTTTGTACATTTTCCTAAGCTTAATTTTGTCTATTATATTGATGCTTATATCTTGCTATAGGCTTGTAAACTGAAAATGGGAGATCTTAAAGGGGCATTATTGGAACAGAGTTTGCAATGCGTGATGGAGATAACAATGTGAAAGCTTTGTTTCGTCAAGGTCAGGTTAGTATCCTCCATTGTAAGAATTTCAATCCATGGTATGGCAGGATCAATTTATATGTTTTCCTAGGTAGCTGCTATGTAGTCAACTCTTGAAAATTGTTTTTTCTTGGATTTGTAATAGAGGTTTTAATCATCATGAAATCTATAGCTTTCAGCGACTTTAGTTTTTTGCTTGTTCAAATCTGTTAATTTATACAAGTTAGCTTACACAATTCTTTTATCCTAGGCGGTGGGCTTGTAAAAATTTAAACTTGAAATAGTGCACACGCTGGCTGTTGAAGTGCATTAACATGTTTCTTTCTAGTTATCATTTGTTAAATGTTCTGCCTTTAGATATTTATCAGTTTCTCTCTCTCTCTCTCTTTTTTGCATGGTTTACGCCTCTGTTGCAAATTGTTCTGTACCATTTTGTGTCTCATGACGCTTCAATTCTAATGATTGTGTCTTATCTATCAGGCATACATGGCCCTTAACGATGTTGATGCGGCTGTTGAAAGCTTTGAGAAGGCACTGAAATTGGAGCCAAATGATGGGATGTGATAGTCTTTGACTTTGCTCTTGCATAGAATTAGTGGTGAAATGAACTCTGAACTTACAGATGTATGTTAATTTAACATTATATTTACAGAGGATCCATATTCAGCTTCTCTTTTTTTTTTTTTTTTTCACTTTTTGAATTTATGATTTGGTTGAGTCATAATTATCAATAGGATTCTTTGTGGGACAAGGTTAGGATATTTATCAATTTGCAAACATTTATAAACTAACACACCCACACAAGCATGTCAATGTGTCTGTAATGGTACAGTAGTTTTAACTTTGAATGGAATAGAGTCGATCTGTTAGCGGTGAGCTTTCTTACATACATATTAGTAGTGGATCTATTGTAAGTTGCTCATAACTTGTTTATCTTGTGTATTCAGGTGGAATAAAGAAGGAACTTGCTGTTGCTAAGAAGAAGGTTGGTAGATTAAACTTACCTTGTCATATATTTTTTATGAGAAATAGTTATGGTCAAAATGTCTTAAATCATTAACCTTTTTAACAGATTCATGTAGACGTGAGCAGGAGAAAAGGCAATATGCAAGATGTTTCAATAGCACTTTGGCCATTAACTGGTACGTAATCACCTTCTGAAGTTGTTGGCTGCCCTTCTTACTGTCAGCCTTATGGATTTTGTAATGTTCAAGATCTTTTTATGTAGTTGGATGGAGTGAGTAAACTGGTTCAGGCTTTTTCTTTTTCCTGTTACAAGCTCGATAATCATCTGATATTGGTATTCCTTTTTTTTTTTTTTTTTTTTTTTTTTCAGGTTTTGTTTTGCTGCAAATTCAACTGTACAAATTTGAGGCTTGAACCAATTCCTAATAGAGTCATTATACAAATTTATTTTGAACTGCAGCTTTTAGTAAATATAGAATCTCAGAAGCTGTTGAACTTTAACTGCATTACATTTCAATTTGTTCCATTTGAAGTTGGCCATAAAACAGACAATTTGACTTGGATCTTTTTTTAATGTGTGATTCATATTCTGCTTATGTTTCTGTGATTGTTTTAGTACAGGATTAGTAGCCTCTTGCTTCTTTCAATGTTTTAAAACTCAACTTGGATGGAACCTAGCTAAGTGGTGGGTCTTGAGCTGACTGCTTTAACCAATTTGATCGATGGGTCAAACTGGTGTCCAAAAGTTTGAAATCTAATAAAAATACCCAAACATTGAAAGCAGCACTCCAAACACTACCGTCGGCGTAACAAATAGGGCTTGTTTTGGCGACAATAATACTCTTAACCAAAACCCATCTCATCCTTCTTCCATTCGCCTCCTAGTCGTCCAACGACAACAGATTTTTCTGACAATATTGTTTTCCAATTTCTGATCGATTCACTTAACGGAAATCAACGTCGATGCCATCGACAGTTTCTTTTCAAAAATTTAAATTAGTCTTCAATTATTCACGGATTGATATCTTAATTTCTATGGTTTTAAATGAATAAAAAAATTGTAACTCGGCCTAATAAGATACTAGATTCAACGGCTTCTTTGATTGTTTGCTTCAGAAAGAAGCTTCGCCTTAGAAACGGGATGCTGGAACAAATAACATAACACTTTTCACCCACTAATAAATATAATTGGGCATCAGAAATATCATATTCCAATCTACAGTTTTCACGCTATGAAGAACAAGCAAATGTGGACAGTAAAAGAACATTACAAACAACAACAAATTGTGGTAAATCCATTGTGGAATAAGCTATTTGTTATAGTCATCGAGCCCAAATCTCTCATGCATCGGTAGCGGCATCCTTGCAGCTTGCATGATTCACCTTTGCCTGCCTAATAAGTTTTTCGATGCCATTATTGAGCAGAAGGGTTCTGTCCAAAGAAAAGAGTGCCATTAAGACAAACTGTGATTTTTAATAATTCTACCACACAAAGATATAGGGCTTCCAATGAGCGGACTTGCCTGTTTTGGGTTTCTTGCTACAAGATTGCGGATCATGAAACAGGAGTTTTTTTGCAGTTGCTGTGCCTTGGGAAACTTTTGCATGACTTGGATAGCAAGGTCTCCTGCTCCAGCTTCCATGGCACGAGTTACGTTGTCCGGAGATCTCAGGACAGTACAGTAATAATAGAAATAACCTAAAAGCACAAGAAAAATGACACCAGTGACAAAAAAATATAAAAAAGAAAAAAGAAACTAACAAATGAAACATAAATGCGTTGTTAAAATTGATGAAGGCAGTCATGTACATTCATTGTACAAGACTTGCTGGAGGCTTACCTCTTGCAGAACAGAAGGATCACAGAAAATCTTGTGGAGTTTGATTAGCATATCCATTCCGCCCTTCTCAATAATAGAACTCTTATTCGAGTCATTCCTGCCAACTAATCAGAAAGAAGCATATAAAAGAAGAGCTTAAATGCTTTAACAAGAAGCAATAGTGATTTGAAAAGGCCAAGATACTGAAGTTTTTATTAAGAAAAAGAAGGGTGAAAGAGAGCGATTTTCAATTCTACCGTGGAACAAAAGACAGCAAGTTCTAGCTACAGCTTTGTTGCTTGTTCGCCACTCATCAATACATCGGAGAAGTGCATCGATACCACCACATTCTGCAAAGGATGTGCATATTTCATCCTGCAGCAAAAAAATAATATAAAAAATAAAAAATCCATGTTAATAACAAAAATCTCGACATAACTAGTATGTGTAATATCAAAATTTTCATATTGACATCAGCAAATCTAGTCTTCCAACGCTACTGGTAGGATTTAGAACATTCTATTGATGAAATTTGAGATACTTCCCATGCTTTAAGCTTTTGAAAGGAGCAAACATTTTCATTGATCACAACTTGTAAACATTATGAAATCAGATCATTTGATAACACTAGTTAGTTCTTTCTAAAACTACAGTTTAGCAATACTACCAGAGTATCAACAAATTAAGAAGAGAATTTGTTTATATTAAGAATAAGAGTAGTATAGTTTTTGCGTCAACTAAATATTGCATGTTTCTTGTGGTAGCAAATTTACACAGATACAACGAAAAAATTGAAATAGCATTATGCACAAGCAATTAGATAATCAAAAAGAAAAAGGAGCTTCCTTGCAATATTCCAACACATTATGCTGTATGTTAATGTAAAATTTATACATACTGTAGAAGATAGGCTTTCATAATCGCTAGGGTAACGACTGATGGAAGGTTTTGAATCTTTTTGCTGGAATGATATTGGAGACTCAATATCATTATAAAAATCAACAATTTCTTCAAAAAAAAAAAAAAAAAAAAAAAAATTTGTTTAGCCACGTGCAGTTTGTTAGCTGATTTCCAAATCATTAGTAAGTAATACATTATTACTCACTAAAGTCTGTAAGCAACAACAAGATTTGGCAAAATACTTCATTAAAAGAACTTAAGACTTTTCTCTAAATTGCTACCATAAAAATGCTTACACTAATCAAAATATCACAATTCATACTAGTTCACATTGACATAACACAATGAAAATTGATGCCTTATCATTAACTTACATTGACAGCAATGGCCTTCATCACAGAGCTAGTAGCAACAACATTAGGTGAGGCAAGCCCTTCAGCTAGTGAAAGTGTAAGAGCTTTTGCAATTCCAATCTTTGCAAATCTTCTGGCATAACCATAAACCTGAACGTTTGCAAATTAGATCTGAATTCCTGATTACTTGAGGAACCCATTCATATAGTCCATTTCTAGCACAGAAAAAATTGAATTAAAAAATATTCAAAATTATGAAGGAACTGCTCAGTCTAACAGATGAGATTTTGACACCATGACCTGGCTTCAAAACCAGCCTCACAAAATTTTCACCATCCACCAAAATGAGAAAAAGAAAATGTATAAATAAGCATTAAAACGCTTACAACTTCATAATCCATAGATGTGTTAAATTTGGTAATGCACAAGTGAACATGCATTTCTATTAAGCCTTTACTTACTTGGGAAGCCACAACACGATCATCATCAGCAGTCAACAGAACACGCATTGCATAATATAAATTTTGAATTCTGTCATTTCTCTGTCTACTCAATACTTCCAAGATAAGCTCATCAATTTTCAATTCCATAAATGATTCTTTGACCACCTCATTACCGGTTGCAGATCCGGTAATAACGGCAAAACAACTATTCAAAATATCTGAATCTTCGCTGCCATGTTTTAGGATATCAACCACCATTTTTGGTCCACCATTTACCCGAAATGTTTCTGTACTTTGAAGATCTGCTAGAGACAAGGTTACAAACATTAAATAAACAGCCATAACAATGATTCAAACAATTCAAGTTCTATTACAACTACAATCCAACATGTAAAATGCCTATTGATATATAGTCTTTCAGTCCGGCATTTCAGTTCAATCATTTTCTTCAGAAGTTAACAACACAAATGGTGGTACATTAAAGTTCAAGCTGCAATAAAAAGGTTCACCCACTTCACATTATTGTTCACACATTTCCATGCATCAACAGAACAAAAAACACCAAATATCACAAGAACCAATAAATTAAGAATCATAAACCAACCAAACAAACGAAACTGAATTAACTATACGGCTAAACCATTTACCATGAATAAACAATGCCATAATTTTCAAACACGATAAGAGAACTCGTTTCGACCCAGCGGGAATCTTGGAACAAATGGCACAAACCAACTCCACAGCACCATTTCTAGTAGCAATTGGAACATTTCCTGATACTTCATTGTTACACCCGCACAACTCTAGTAGCTTATCAAACAACTCCCTCATCTCATTTAAATCTTCATCGGTGATTCGATCCTTCGAATTTATATCCAATTGCTTCAATCTCTCTAATGACTGTACTACGGGATTGTCTTTCACACTACTCTCTCCTGGAACGCACTTTACAATCCCTGTAATATAAGGTAATAAGCTAATTAAATAAAACAAAAACAAAAATCCATAAAGTATGTTATACAAAAGTTTGTATATATAACGCCACTCAAAAATATAAGAAAGAAAGATAAATGGCTGCAATAAAATAGATGCTAAAAATTATGAGAAAATTTAATGAATGAGGTTCTGTTTGGAAGGTGAGAAAATGCGGGAAAACAAAAGAAAATGTGATTTCTACCCCTTTTAAAAATGATAACTACACAGATGTTTTAGTCACTTCCAGTTTGATAAACGAGTGTGGAAGCAGCCAAAAGAATATCATTTTCTCTGGAAACAAACGGAAAGTTAGAAGAGGACCAGAGAGATCAACGCCTTGAAGAGTGAGAGTCTGAATGGCGTCTTGGAGGGCCTCGGCGGGCTCCATTCCTAGATCCTCCATGTTCTCCTTCACAACTTCATCGAACGCTTCCTGCGAGATCGCACGGCCGGTATTGGTGGGGCCCATGCCAATCGATGCTATTATCAACCGTCGGATCGGACTGCTTCGGAGGATTGTCTTGCGGCGAAACACCACAGTGAGAGAGAGTGAGAGGGTCTTCTGAATGGAAAGATCCGTTTTTTTTTTAATTTTAAAAAGCTATCTAAGGGGTTTTGGACTGGGCTGCCCGAATCCGGCCCGTCCTGGCTCCTGTACATCAATTTCGATTTCGGTGTCTAAAAATAATTTTTAATATATTTTATTATTAAATACGATGGCAAACTTTAGTATTGACCGGGTTTACGAAATAAATCCCAATTCATAATTAAACATGGAGCGGAAAAAAGAATTAAAAAAGGGTCACCCCTCACTGATAGTTCCGTCATTGTTTTAAAACCCAGAAAGGTAACTCGTTTTGTTGTCCAGGTCACGGGTCAATCGATTTAATCGTCAGTGATAATTTTATTTTAAAAAAATTACATATAATCCTTCAAATTTTAATATATTACAAAAATTTCCCTAAAAAAGTTTAATTAGTCCCTAAAATTTTTATTTATTTCAAAAATACCCCCAAAAAATTACAATTAATCTCTAACCTTTTGATATATCTCCAAAACACCCCTATAAAATTCAATAACCCTTATAATTTTGAAATATTACAAAAACCCCTCTAAGACCTGAACCGGACAAGAGAAGCTGTCAGCTCCTTGTCCAACCGGCCAATCCGGTCCGGTTTTTAAAACAGAGGTTCCAGGATTCCAGAATATTAGTTGAGGTACGCGTAAATTGATCCAAACAGAATACCACCGGTCATGAAAAAAAAAAAAGGGCAAATCAAAGGTAACACAAGACAAAAAGAAAAAAATCAACCTTGCATTAAAAGTGTATATACATGAGCTTTATATACATGAGCGTCATCCGAAGTAGTATGGTGTGGTAACTATTTTAAACCAATCTGAAATCCAATTCAGGTAAGCGGTAGATTTGAGTAAAAATTTAGAATAGTAAAACCTATTGTAATTGTACATCAACATATTCACAACACTCCCAAAGATATTTTTCTTCTAACTCAGGAAAAAGAAGAAAATGTGGTGCCGACGGGCAACAGAAAGCCGTCTTTCATTCATTTGCAGGTTCAGGTTGAGTGGCAGCCAAGCGCCTAACACGCTGGTTTAATCGTCGTCTACGATAAATGCCAATCAAACGTAGGATAACCACTAGAGCAATAGCAGCGTAATCAAATACTCTTACAATTCCAAAATTCCCTGTGGAAGAGCAGCCAATTGTTTATGTCAGAAAAGGCTAAAGGATGAATGCACCTCCTAAGAAATAACCAAGCTATGAGCATAAAACACCGGAAAATTGACATGACAGAGAATAGTGAACTCCTAGCACAACTGTGTACCATTAAGTTTAACAATACGGAGAGTGCAGCCAAATACATCACTGCACCATAATATTACTACACAAGAAACTTTCTTTAATATGTAATGAGTGAGTCCTGAAATCTATAATATTTTCAATGAAGCACTCACCTGTTGGAATGAAGTTCAACGGAGTGGCTGCATAGAGGACACTCAGGAACATCTGCAGATATGAAGACAATTAGAGTTTACCGAAAGACATGCAAATTTGTGTACATTTTTTCCCATGATTAAATCTGTTAACAGTATCAAGGCCAGTCAATTAATAGAAACAAGAATCCAAGTTGACCAAATATATTTTGAGAATTGGAAGGAGGCACAAGCAAGCCATAGAATAGTTGCTTGGTAAAAGTGGTGTACTCTAATAAACTACTATGAGACTCTAATGGTGAGTGACCTTTTTTACACATAAAAATAATAATAATAATAATAATAATAATGAAGAGCAGCCATGATCTCTGGCAAATTAAAATTCCGGGCTAGAATTAACAGAAATCATACTTAAAAATAGTTCATAAAGGATTCTCAAAACAAGTGCCAGAATAATTTATCTGCAGTTATCACAATTAAGAAAATAAAAACCACCAGATTTTCCAATCCCATCAAGAAACACTTCGCTGTTAAATAAAATTGAAAGCAAGAACATTTTAAAGTCATTGTATAGAACTCGGATCACATAACTGCAAAAAGGCGCATTTCATGCAGATAATCTTCCCTATCAGGATCCATCATCTCTAGAAAAATTCTCTTAATGAAAAGTGGCAGCTCACATACTTTCTGCAAAGAAGAAGACAAGTTCAAACCAGCTTGAAGAAGAAAACAGGTATATATAGCATGCTTGAAACATAAACGAAATTATAAGTACAAGAAGGAAGCATTATGATTGGTGCAACAAACACTAGTAAAAAAAAAAAAAAAAGTTTTGATTCCACGGTTTCTTGTTTCTGCTTGAAACAAGTAGATTTGATATGCATCTAAAAACAACAAAGAGCTTAGTATCATATCTAAACATATCCTAATAAAACACTAGATCAATTTAAAAATTAAAAAAAAATGCCTCATTTCAAAAGATTCCAAGTATACAGAAAGAGATTTATGAACAAAATAATTGAATTAAGACTTTTGCCCCAAAAAAGGTCTGATAAAAATAGAATTCATGATCCTAATACCATAAAGACCATTGAATAGTTGCACGTAACAGCAGGCACAAAACCATAAGATAGCATCTGCCAAGTTTTCAAGATACACGTCTAAAACAGATTACTAGTCCAGTAATCCATCCAAACTAATCTGCCATATTTAAAAGAAATAAGGAAAGTTTTATCCAGTGAAATACCTGTAAAAGGCCACGTGTCCCTCCAACAAAAAGGCGGTTGTACCTCAGAACATTTTTCAGAACCTCAGTGATCTCACGTTCCTGCCGGTGGCATAGCGATGCCTCTGGTGTCAACCTCCTGATGTAGCGGGAGCACATGGGACACTTGCATGGCCTAGATGCTGAAGAATAATTCCAGAACTGCAAAATGCAACTGCCTGCACAAGAATAAACACCAATCTTAAAACAAAATATTCATGTCCCAAGATAGCTTTACATAGTAGAAAGAAAAAGACCAGTAGTAACCTGCTCCCACATGTATTAACATAGCTAGTCTATGGAGGAGGCAGACCTTTCACTTCTAAACACTTAGCAACATAAAGAAGTTTACGTTCTACTTGAACTTTTCCTCTCTCATTCCAGATGCAAGTCCTACCAAGATCCCTGAAGGACAAGCACTGAACAAGAAGGCCAACACATGAGCTCAAAATCTAGTTGAACTCGAGACCAGCTGACCATGCGCATATACAATATGCAATGACAACCGTGAAAAGAACTACCATTTACACAATATGAATTCTTATACATCGATCGCAAAGGAAAAGGAAGTACAACTTTAGCACATTATATTTTTCCCGGAGGTACTCTGCAAACTTGAGGCCGCTAGAAAGTTCAAAACACACAGTGGAAGAACACAAATAAAAAACCCTTCAACCACATAGTGTAAACACAAAACTGGTAACACCTCAATCCCAAATACTTTTAACAACCAATATCTCAAATGTTTTACCAGTCAGATTAACGGTTACATAAAGCCTCCACAAAATTTCTAATTTGTAAACTAATCCAATTAGTTTGGTCGGCCATAATTTTCATGAAACCAGCAAGCCACAATAAACAGTTAAGCAAACATAAAGATTAAAGAAGACAATAACTACGAGATTGAAAAATGTTTAACGTTGTTAACAAGCAGCATAAATTCTTTTCTTCAAGCTAGGTACAAACATTTTTAACGAAAAAAAGCTTATCATATTATATTCAAAACAACACAAACCGACCACCAATAAACTATTAATTTAACATTAAATCAAACCGGTTCTCAAAATCTTAACTCTGAAACCCTCAAATTCATAAATAATAAATAAAATGTCAATTTCCTTTCCCCAATATTTTCTCAGGAACCAAACAGAAAATCACGCCTATACTCCGAACAAACGCAATAACGCGTAAACAAACAAACTTTCAAAATTTCCACAAACTAACTTCAAAAAAATAAAAAATAGAAAGCTAATAAAACTAACCGCAGTACCAGTGACCGCAATTTGCTTTACAAGGAATAGTGAAATCTCCAAAGCAAATAGGGCAACAATCGTCTGCAGGAGGTCCATCTACCTCTTCGCTGCTCTCTCCTTTCGCTCCCTCTCCACAATCTTCAACGCGATTGTTTAACGTATCCATCTCCAAGAAACAACAGCGTTCGCACAGATTTAGTTTCTTTTATCTTCTATGCAGGTTCAAGTTTCCTTTTCTCTCCTCAGAGGAGAGACTGATCTGATTCGTAGTTTTGAAGGAAATTTTAACTGGAGTGGGTCCGACTATATATATAATATATATATTTACGGGTTTCGGTTCGACCCTTTATTTTAAATATTTGATTCGGTTTACCGCGTTTAAATGGCCATACGGGTATTTGACCCGCGTTTAAACGGCCATACGGCCAGAATGGTGTGCAAATTTTGCTGAAACATACCCTAAAGGCCACAAAACATATTTTATTTCCTTTTTTTTTTTTTTAAAATTTGTATTTACATTAATTTGATTATTATTTATATTAATATTTATAATAATTATATAATTCAAAAAATAATAAAAAATTAAAAACAAAACTTCATTCAATGTAAATATTAAGCTTCAATAACTCAAAATAAATTAACACTGATTTAAAAATACTAAAATTAAAAGAAAATATAACATAAATAATTAGTAAAATAAATTTATTTTCAATGCTTAATTTTATTAAATTAGTATAATTTCCAAAGTAATTAATTAATAAAAATATTATTTTTAATATTTAATTAATATATACAAAAATAATTAATAAAATAAATTAATTGTTGATAATTAATAAAAAGAAAAAAGAATATTATTTTTGATTTAATATTTGATTCAACGGGTTGCAGATGCAATAGTAAAAATTGTATGAAAGTAATTTGGCGTTTGTAGTTGGAAATGGCCTTAGGGTATAATTGCAACTTTATGAAACTCGTGGATTTTTGTGTTTAAATCTCAGGGGGGGGCGCTGGCCCAACCTGGATGTTGTCTGCGCCTTTCATTTAATCTTTAATCTTGAAGTGGTAAATTATAGGTGTATGATCATGTATCTAAACATTTGAATAACAATAATATGCTTGTTAGACATGCATAATCGAAAATTAATAAAATTGTATTACAATAATAAATGGGTTGGCCAAATGGTAAAGGCTTAGAGCCGAATGGTAAAGGCTTGAGGTCAAGGGGTTTGCTCCTCCTATGGTCTCAAGTTCGAATCACAAGAACGATTGTTAATATTATGGGTCACAAATTACAGGGTTTGTCTTGTTTTGGAAGCCTTGTTTGGGGTTTGGAAACTAGTCGAAATACGCATAAATTGATCTAAATACCCCGATAACAAAAAAAAAAATTTATACAATATTATTGGACTCTTTCTTTAATAGTTAATGGATGTATTCTTTTATCTAAAACCAATCTAATGGCACTGGCTGTTGCACAAACACTTGTTCTTATCAATATCATAGCTGCAACTTCAAAGTTGACAGTAACAATGGCTAACAGAGGTTGGCAGTTGGAACTATGGATTTAACTACACTTGGCCTTCGACGGCCTTTCCCAAGATTAATAACAGCACAAATTTCCCCAACAAAATCATCGTCGGTGGATCCGATCACTGGCACTTCGGCTTCAACTTCAGTGACTGGGCTTTCCAGAATGCTCCCTTCTATGTCAACGACGTCTTAGGTGACTTCACATTCACAATATATAATTAATTTATTTTCTTAAGAAGCTTTAATTATTCAACCTTGGTACATTATTCTGATAATTTTTAGAATAATATTTTGAATAAAGTAAAATTGGGTGATTATTATAATGTAGGATTTAGAAATTAACAAAAATACCCTCTAAGTTTCTTTATTTACTAAACACCTTTATAATAAAATATTAAAAATTAACAAAAACACCTTCATCCATCCATTAAATACTGATAGTCGGCCACTACCGTCGGAAGGTGGCCAGAGTCGCTGTATCGACGCACGATCGATTGGATCTGGCCGATCGTGCACCGATATGGCTTTTTACGGCCAGATTCACGGTAGATCTGACCGGAAATGGTTAAATCTACGACTAGATCTGGTCATTGACAGCCATATCTGACTGTACTTGGTCGTCAACGATGACCATATCTTGGCCGTCGTTGACGACTGACTACGGCCAAAGATCTGATCATAGATCTGGCATTTTCCGACTAGATCCACCTTGGATCTGGCCGGAAAAGGCTAGATTAGTGCACTACTGGCCAGATCCAGCCAATAGTATGCCATTATATCAAATTTCGGCTAGCTTCCGGTGGTGGTAGCCAGAATTTGGCAAATGTGGGTTGCTGGGGTGTTTTTGTCAATTTCTAAATTTTTTTTTTTTTTTTGTGTTTAGTTAAATTAACAAATCTAAGGGGTTTAAAACAAATTGAATAATATAGAATAATATTTTGAAAATGAGGAAATAAATTTGTATTTTGGATAGAATAGAGAATAGAGTAGTAAAAAATTGTGTACCTTGCCTAATTTTTTTTTTTTTTTTATTTGTTTTTTGTTGGCAAAAAGAAACCAGCACAAAAAGGAAATAGGGTTTTAACGTAACCCTCATATAAGTGGGCTAAAAAAAAAACTTCTCTCCTTATGGGCTAAATGGCCCAACATGGACGTACTAAAATGGCCCATCCTCCACATGGAGAAAACCAAACCCAACAGTTACTATTATTTTTTTTATTGTTTGGGAAATTTTGATTTCTGTATCACCCAGCCCCAGTCGCAGATTGGATTCCCGGTGAATCCGCTCAGATCTCAGCAGGTTAATTTCTCTCGCTGCAAGCTACGCCGTCGATTATTCATCTCTTCCACTCAGCCGTTTAATTTTTTATTTTTGGTATTAGATCTCAGATCCGAGATTTTTTTTTTTTTTTATACGGGATTTTATATTTTTTGTTTATTTGGTTTTTCAGGTTCTCTCATAGTGGTTGTTGGTTCTGCGTAAGCCAAAATGGTAATGTTTTTCATCATTATAATGAAATGAAGTGATTTTATGAAATTTGTTCTTTATACAAGTGTCGTTCTTTTATTTACTGAACTTGTTATTGTTTTTATTTTTTTGTTCCAAATCCTTCAAAACACCAAATTACTACCAGATGAACAAATCCCAGATTGTTTACATGGATGTTGTCGGTGGGGACGAGGGGTATCCGCACACTTTATTCTCCCACATCCAAACACAAACGCCAACTGCAAATGTCCTCATATTTGTGAGATGGCAGATTAAGCTATTGATCCATTGTTTTGAATGAAATGTCTCATTATCTTTTATTTGCGATGTAGGTTGTTCTTGCGCGTTCTTGTGACCCATCCGGAAAAGGTGAGTTATTTATTCGCTTTTTTTGTGAGATCCTGTGTTTTTATTTTATCGGTAATATGGACGCAAGGTTTCTGTAATTATCCCACAACAAATTGAAGAGATCAACACTTTATAGCCCACTCAATCATCACAATAAAACCCATGAGAACAAACTTGGCAAATATAAGTTTTGAGACATTAGGGATTTGAAGGAGGTTGAATTTTAGACTGAATTTGGGTACGGGAAAATTGAGAGAATTAGAGAGATCACAGAGAAGCAGGGAGGATAAAGAGAAGAATGAAGATGAAGCGGAGATGATAGGGTTTAAATGGTAGCGGTAGGTTTGTTTTCTTTTTCAAAACCTCGTAAAATGCCTAGTCTTCAACCCTTTATAGTTTAAAAAATGTGCATTTTCAAACATAGCCCAGACAGTGCTCTCACAATAACAATAAAATATGGGATTTTAGCCCCAACAAATGTGAATATCCCCCCTTTCAATATTTTTTGTTTAAAATTTTAACCTTAAAGAAATTCATAGAAAGACATATAATTCTAAGTACACGCTCCTCATTTTATATTTTATTTTATTTACATTTAATTCTTACATAAACAACTTTAAATATTCTAAAACATTGGAAACATTTTTTTTTTATTCAAAATTTCTTTTTTTTTTGATGAAATATATTACTAAAGTATGAAAAAGTAATTATACAACGGGTGAATCTGAAAATAAAAAAGAAGTAATTAAGTTTGAAATTGTTGATTTTTGAATGAAAATACCCTCAAATTTAAGTGTTGATTTGTATATTTTATCACATAATAAATTATTGAAATGAATTAAATAAATCTACCCATAATTTAATATATAAATAATTGATGATCTTAATGATTCCCAATAATATTAATTTATATTATTAATAAGTTTGATTTTCGTTTAGTTAACCAAAATTTTAAAAAGTTAAGAAATTTAAACTAGTCAAAGTTGTTGATTGTGATGACTGTTTGTCACGCGTGCGACCTCATGCTGGCGTGTGGAGGACCAGATAACTGTGGTGGTGTGATGTCATAAAACCGGTTTTTAGTGAATCAATGCTTAGATCGATGATTGTTAGTTGTTGGTCTCTCATGTGTCTACAATTACGTTGTGACATGACAGATGGTAAAATGGAGGATTAAATTTAAAATAGATAAATAGGATATTTCATCCCCTTTTCTAGTAATAGATTGACATTCCTCTAATTTTAGTCCTTTGACTTTTAGGGGATTGGGATTCGTTTGAGAATCCTTGAGAATCTTATGTAACAGTCTCGTAAATTTTATGTACAGACTTTGCTAAGTGATCTTTTAATTGATTTTGAAATTCATTATACATGACAATGAGGCACTTGAATAAAAATGTCACGAAAGGTGGGGGTTGGCTATTTTAAAAATTAGTGGGTATTACATTCAAGCCTGGGATTAGTTCTTACTTTCATGGGTTGGGTCTATGTCTTCTTCTTTCTGTCTTCTTTAGTTGTACCTGCTTATATATGTTTGCGTCTAGGCCATGAACTATGTTTTACTTGCTTATGATAATATTTTACAGTGAATAATTTTCTTGCTCCTCTTGACATCTTTATTCCCTGCAGTGCTTGTTCTAGGCAGTTGTGGTTGTCTCGTATACGAATTGAGGGTCTTCTTGCAGCTTTCCTAAGTTGGTAGGCACAGGAAAACAACATACGTATGTTGAGACAGAAAATGTCCGCTTGGTTTAGTCAGCATAGAGCTTTGTACTTGCTACTTGTTACAAACAAGCAGAGCAACATCCTTGAAGATCTGGAAACTCTGAGGCTGCTCTCCAAGCTGTATCTTTTAAGCTGCTCTTTGTTTACTTTACATCTTCTTAAATCAAGGTTC